GCGAGAGAGAGAGAGAGAGAGAGAGAGAGAGAGAGAGAGAGAGAGAGAGAGAAAGAATATTACATTGTAAACTAGGAAAATGGCATAGATAGGCCAGTACACATTAAATCAATTATTGTAGATGGTTGTCTAACAAAATGCAAAAACTTTTTGAACTTTTTTTTTAAATTCGGTCTAGATTATTTTATTTTAAGTAGAGGACTAAAAACACTTCTAAATTTAAAAACTTGTCTGTTCACGGAAACTACCACTCAGGCCTTAGTTTTTTTCCCCTTGGGCTTGCTTGAAGCTAATCTCGGCGATAAACAAATATTGTGTCTAAACACAAAAGGCTTGTGCATTCTTACTTGAATCTTGGTGTGCATTGTGTATTGTGTATTTTTTGCAGATCAGTGTAGTAATCCAGCATGAAAGTTTGCCTTTGTGCAGGGGAAAATAAGAGGTTTGTACATATATCATCAAATTTTGGAGTTCATTGAGGGACACAAATTCAGAAAACAGTTGGTTTCTGTATAACAGCCAGTCACTGTTTAACCCCTCCTCCTACCCAGCATGCTTCAATTTTGGAAAAATTGAGCAAAGCAAAAACACAAGGGGGAGGACTGTGTCCCTCAATGACCTCTGAGAAATAGATTTTACAATCAAGTACAAAAACCTTGTTCTTATCCCATTTTGGGGGGACGATGACGACACACGACACAGGAATTCAAGAACAGTGGGAGCATACAAAAGAAGTTCCAGTGAGGGGTGGGCGACAGCCACTGACAGATCCAAAAGGATTTCGAACCATCTGCAACTCAAGACTATTTGAAGGACTATGACAACATCTGACCCAGATGAGGTGAGGTCCCCTGCAGGATGGGGAAAATCTGCCAATGACGAAGGGAAGGCCAGAGAGGATCAACCTGACACTTAAGCTTAGGAAAGACAAGATTATTGCAAAAGGTGAAAAAACACTTAACCCGAATGGACAGTGAGCCTACACCAGCGAGAAACTGGGAAACGGGAAACCCACCAAAACAGGTTGAACAACATAGCTTGTGATGAGGGGGAAACAGACCAATAACATGTTGTAGTCAACAGAAAAAAACACTGGGACAAGTCCCTAGAAGAACAGGTCTCCAGATGGAACATTGGACACAAAACCCAGGTCCATGAGAGAAGACCAGCTGGTCTACGTGTGAAGGCCTGGGTCTTACACTCCCAACCCTTAGGATTTAGGGAAGGAACGTTCCAGGATCAGAATGAGGTTGCCTGGCCGGACAACCAACCTCAAAATGAGATCTCCAAGGAATGTGAGAATTCTCACTGCATGAGATCCATAAGGATGGGGGTGGTAACCACCCCATCCACGCTAAGAGATTGATGGTTCTCACCAGGGACTTCTTGGTCCTAAGACACCATCCGAATGATAGAGGGGGAGGCTGAAAAGGACAGTGTCAAAAAAAGATGGGGAGACCATCTTAGCATAGTAAAAGGTGTAGGGTATTTCCTCAACACCCTAAAGGCTACTAAAAGTGAAAGGGGAGGAATTTCCCTCTTACCGCACAGAAAAGGAAGGCTAGGCCAATTCATTCATACAAGGATTTTAGGAATGACCCAAAAGGTGAGAAAACCCTCAATCAGCCTAGTGGTCTTCCTGTTAAGGTGGGTCACTAGTACATCCATGGTGGAATAAGACCACTGATTTACAAATTCCCTTTTACAAGGGAAAATTTCCAGCACACTTGGGTGGGGTCTAGAGGATGCAGTCAAATAGCAGGTGTAGCGGAAAGGAATTTGCAGCCATAGCAGCTCTAAAGGACCCAAGGAAGAGAACAGCAGGCTGATTCTCTAGATGCAGGGTAATACATCTAATAAAAGATGAACATGGAAAGTTGGTCAAAGCCATGTTTCTGTGTTGGCTGATGATTCGAAAATTGGCTGGGTAATAAACGTGAGATAAAACAAAGCATCATTAAAGAAGTACCTGGATAAAATAGGGTAGTGGGCAACTACATGGCAGATGAGGTTTAATGTTGAAAAATGTAAAGTAATGCATTTGGGTGTTAAAAATAGGCATGCAAACTACACATTAAGCTCCACTGGGGAAATCAGAAGTGAAAAAGATTTGGGGGTCATCGTTGACTGCAGACTTAGCAATAGCATGCACTGTCAGGCTGCAGTTAACAAAATTATTAGACTACTTTTATACATAAAAAAGTATGTACTGTAGAAACAAATGTTGCCACTTTATAAAACACTGGTTCGGCCTCATCTTGAGTATGCGGTTCAATTTTAGTCACCAATCCACAGAAAGGATGTCCTGGAGCTGGAGAGGGTGTAGAACACAAAAAAACTAAGAAAGAGGCAGGAGGACCTAAGCCATGAGAAACGATTAAGAGGGGACATGATTGTAATGTACAAATTGTTTAATGGTGATGGTAACATCAGTAATAAACTTTTTATTGTAAACTCAAAGGCGACAAGAGGCAAGCACAAAAAATTGAAAAGAAAAAAGGTTTAGGGGAAGGGGATTCTTTTGTGTTAGAGTGGTAAAATTGTGGAACTCCCTTCCATAAGCAGTGTATTAGCAGAAAGTATTAATTCATTCAAGAGCGGTTAACTTTCCTCAGAAAACAAAACATACAGAGGTACAGGTACTCCTAATACAGAGTACACAGACACTCGCACATACAAAAGACACTCTCACATGGATTTGAACTCTATGGACTTTCTATTCAACCTCTAAATACTATGTAGCTTTATGTAACAAGCGAGAGAAAGGAGAGATTTTTCTCTTAGGTTTTTACAGATGAAAAAGACGGTTCGAAAGTTGTAGCAGGAATGCCAATAAAGATGGACCGGAGGTCCCTTTGTGGCTGATGGAAAGCTGGGTACAAGACAGGCTAGAGAAACTTAATGTAAATACATTTTTAAAGACAACTTACTGACTGGAATGGTACCGATTGCTGTAGGGAAATGAGGTACCAATATTCAATAAAGGATTGAGATGTATATCAGAAAACTAAAAGACCAGTCAGCCTAACATCAACAGTCTGAAAAAGTTTTAAGGGAATGGTACAAGAATCTATTCAGAAATTTGTCTGCAATAAAAGTATCATATGAACCAACCAGCATGGATTTATAAAAGACCATTCTTGTCAGACCAACCCATTAATCATTCCATGAAGAAGTGAGCAACCTGGATGCTGGAAGACCAAGGGATATAGTTTTTCTAGATTTTGTGATGGCTTTCAAACCAAACCTCATAAATGTTTACACTATAACGTCTAATAGAGTTGAAGAAAACTGGTTGCATGGATGGGTCCAGAAAGTAGTGATAAATTACTCATTCCCTAAATGGTCTAAAATTGTGGTATACCCCAGGGATTTGTCTTGGGACCAATGCAGTTTAACCTGTTTATTAAGCATATTAAGAATAAAATTAAGAGTTCAACTGCATGAGTTTGCTGATGATACCAAATTATACAGGGAAATAAATCTGCACAGGATGTAGCGACATTACAGGAAAACATAACATAGGGGGTTGAAGCAGCTACATGAGATTAAAATGTTTAGTAAAATGAAAGGCTATGCACTTGAGTGCCAAAAATACACATGCAAAATACTACCAGCAGAAACTATTCTAATGTGTATCAGTGATGGAAAAGGGGGTGCTTGCAGATCAGACTCCGCAATAACATGCAATGTCAGGCTGCAGCTAATAAAGCTAGCTGAATACTCTCATGCATTAAAAATGGCATAAATTTAAGAACGTAATCAATAACTCTACCCCTTTACAAAACACTGGTACAGCCTCATCTTGAATATGCAGTTCAGTTTTGGTCACCAATCCTCAGGAAAGGTGTTCTTGTATAAGAAAGAGTTCAGTAAAGGGCAACAAAATTAATAAGGGGACTGGAGGACCTCAACTATAAGAAACGATTACATAGATTACACTTATTCACAATGAAGAGGCACTTAACAGGAAACTTGAACACAATCTACAAATAGGTGACTATAGTAAATGTAATAAAAGATCTAAAGGTCCTTGAAGAAGACACATGGCCACAATTTAAGGTTGGAAGAAAGGAGGTTTAACCTTACATTGCAAAAAGGATTCTTTACTGTTAGAGCAGTGAAAACATGGAACTAAGAAAGACCTCTTCTTAGGTAGTGCTACTAGCTGAAAGTGTTGGCAATTGCAAAAAAACGTTGAGGTCTTCCTCATGGAACACAGTATACAGCGTTACAGGGATTGTTAGAGACTCATAATCATACACAAATAGGTTAAACTGGATGGACATGTGTCTTTCAACCTCATCAACCATTTAATTATGTAAATCTGAGTCAACAGCAGGAGCCTCAAAAATAGCTTCCTCAGGATAGGCTGCTGGGACCAGGGGTGTGGAAGTTTAAAAAAAAACCGACTTGCCCAAGGGCTAAAGCGGGGGCCCAATCTACTTGTCAATTCCCATGACAATCTAACTGTCCCGATACAAACAAATAGTTTTGGTCAAAACTGTATTTAACCATGCTAAGAAGCGCTTTTCATTGGTCAGTGTGTCCTGACAGAGTGCTCGCAATTTGCGAGCCAAATCCAAAATCCATGGCTACGTTGGATGGCAGTAAGGTGTACAGAGTGTCCACCCGTACTGGCAGAGGGCAAGGGCTGTTTGCTGAAAGGCATGTATATCGAGGGGAGCGCCGGGGCCAGATTTGAGCAGGTAATTCGATTTTCCCTAATTACCTGGGAAAGTGAACTTACCCTTTAAAGCACATTGTGCGTGTAAGAGTTCTGCTGCCTGGCTACCACTATATGGCTCATAGTGGAATGGGGGCAGCACTTATCACACACACAATGTCCAATGGGTGTGTTTATTTGCATGTAGATGGTGGGGGTGGCAGGGTTGGTTTTTAAATGTTTTACTTTAGCTCTAATTTATTAAATTTTACCACTTATTTTTTTAATTTGTATAAAATTAAATTTTTTTATTTTATATCTTTTTTTTCCCCATTTAATTTTATTGCCATTTACACAGGCAATAAATAGTTGTGATGTTTGGAGGTGACAGGTTCTCTTTATGGAACCTGCCCACCAACACAGAAAAGATCTGTGCAGTTTGACAGCTGAGACACTGAGGTGGCACTGTGATTACAGAGCTCCAATCTCATTTGATCACAGAGCGGAGAATGGACGTTCTACGCTACGCTCTGCTTCCTACTCTCCATCCTGAGCTCATTTGCCGTGGTCCCGGGACCCCCAGAAGAGCGGGGGACCTCAAAAACCTAAGCAGTGAGGGAGGGATGGGACAGACAGGCTAGTACAAGTGATCTGATCTAGAGCTGCAACAATTAATCGACTAAGTTGACTATATTCGATAATGGAAAACATTGTCAACGTTTTCCATCATCGATTAGTTGACTTTCGATTAGTTGGCCTGCTTGCGGCTCCCCGCACCCTACTTCTCTTCTCTATCGTATATAGCTGCTGGTATTCTGCATTGCGCTGTATCATTATACAGCGCAATGCAGAATAACACTGGCCATAGAGGACTACAAATCCCAGCAATACATTATACAGCGCAATGCAGAATAACACCAGCTACAGAGTACTACAAATCCCAGCAATAGTACATTATAGTATAATGTACTATTGCTGGGATTTGTTGTATTCCTCTATAGCTGGTGGCTTTCTGCATTGCGCTGTATAATGTACTATATTGCACACCACACTTTTTGTTGTTTTACTTCCACCGCTCCAAGTTTGTTCTCGTGATGGACTACAATCTCAATACAAACTAGTAGTCAGTAGTAATCACTGGAGCCTTTATTTATTTTTACTTTTTTTAAATCCGATTAATTGAACTTAATCGGCTAATCGATTTTGAAAATAATCGTTCACTGCAGCCCTAATCTGATAAGATCACATGTATAAGATGTGCATCTGCTCCCCACTGTACATTTAGCCCTGCTTGCCCAAATCAGGGCTAAAATGTAGAAAAAAAAAACCTGCAGATCCCAGGGGTCGGGCGATAGGAATTCCACACCCCCGCTGGGAATACGAGTCCGAGATAGAAAATGGGAGCAAAAGATCTGGTTGAATTAAAGGCTCATGAGGATCAGAGTGACCCTGCAGGAGATGGTGCCAGGGCACACAGCGCCTCTGCAGCCAGAATGATCCAGTAGCAGAGAACAAACAGTAAAGAAGAGTATACGAGGTTAAAATTTCAAACAAAAATTTATTTTGAACCGTTTGTTTGATTTTCTAATCGTTTATTAGGGTTACAAAATCGATCGGGGGAAAAAAGAAAAAAAGTGATGAAAAAACATTTAAAAAGGAGCATGCTGGAATGGACAGTGGATGTGGGTTTCATTCATGAAACTCCATTTCATCCCAAAACCGAATGTTGAATTAAAATGAAAATCTTAACGAAATTTCGAAAGAAAATTTGCCAGGTCTCTGATGACATTATTGAACGTCCCAAAGGATTTTTCATACAAAAAGTTTGTTCGAAAATATACCCGTGTATATTCTAGGAAGGCCAGAGTGGATGTGGAGGTCCCTGGTTCTCCCGACCGAGCTGGGAAGACTCTAATGAAGACAATCCTTTAAGTATAGGGGTCTCGGGCACTAGATTACAGGTGTTAGGTCCTTCTGGGGATACAGAGTACAAACATTCCTAAAACCACTAGAGGAGTATGGGGCAGAGGAAACCTGTAGCAATAGTACTGTCTTCTCTGTCTTAACAATGACATGCTGCTTCCTCTAAAAGGTAACGCAAATAGGCCTGACATGAAGCAAGGCCTCAAGTACTCAAAAACCCCAGCAGCTGATACAGATTTCTGGCAGCTGGAGGTGACCAGGCCATATTAAACAGGCAGTGGAAATGGATCCACGCGGTGCTTCAGGAGCAGTGGGAATGTATGCAGTGCTCCTCTGGTGGTAGCCGTACATTTTAAAAGGCGCCCAACAGTATGGTGAATCACCAGGATCTACCTCGCAGTTCACAAACAGCCTTACTCACAAGTTAGCGGTCAAAGACAAGGTCCCACCTGGAGCTTTGTCATGTGTCTGGGCCTGGAAAGCGTTTCATGGCTAACTAGCACAGTACACTCTGGTCTTGATAAGTGCCACAATGCAGAACCCAGTACCCGAAGGTCACATTGCAGGATAGCGGGGTCTGGGTATAACCTCTAAAGCTAGGCTGAAAAAAATGACAATACAGATAGCTGCTACATAAAGACAGCTCAAATAGTAGCATCGACTAAGAGTGGCTCAAGTCACTTAAAGGAGAACTATGGGGTGAATTACACTCATCCGCATAGTTAGAGCGGATCTGTGGCATTGAAATTGTCACATGTTGGCTCTATTGATCGGGAAGTGAGCGAAAACATACCACCGCTGGCTCACTTCCCGATCATCTCCCTGCAGAGAGCGGTGACAGTCACCACTCCCCACTGGGATTGTCCCCTACCCTCTCCGATCCTCCAGCGCTGACTGGAGGGACAGACGGGGGAGGGGGGCAGGCATAGCTGGCTCTGCCTCTAGATAGGCTGTCAATTAGCCAGCAAGATGGATTGTCGGGATCCGTCCTGGCTGCAGTGCTCTCGGCATATAGCGTGCAATAGCCCACTATATACTGAGTTTTGGGTCACGGGAGGACATTAGTATATGTCCTCCCGTCACCCTAAGGAGAACTATGGGGGGAATGTTACCCTATGGTGCTCTTTTAAGGAAAATATTCCACGAAGCAAAGCCAACAAAAGAATAGTTACAATTTATTTAGCAGAGCTGAAAAGGCACCCAGCTTCGTAGGACAGTAGCAAAAAACAAAAGCATGCTGGGTAGAGGAGGGGTTATATAGACGTTGACTTACAATTTTTTTGTTTACCAGTGTTCGAAACATCCACTAGGTGACAGTATAACCGTTTCTGTATACCCGTGTCCCTCAATGGACGGGAGCAATTACCAGAGTATATATATGGCTCTGCGAGCATATAGGCTGCTTTTGAGTGATAAATGGCTAGACTTGTCGCCTTCCATGGAAAACTCCATTGACTAAGATTACACAAAGGTAGCACCATGTAAGTAAAGTCTCAGTGGAGCACTAAATATTCAAAAGACAGGACTATAACTTACTGATGGAATCTGGGAAAGGGAATTCGACCTATTTAGGCGTCTCCCAGTAAGATTGTTTTCCATTTCATTGACTTCCGTTTTAAGTTTATCCAGCTTTTTCTTTTGCACTTCAAGTTCTCGATGAAGTCGCTCCATTCTTGCCTTCTGATGTACCAGTAGAGCTGCAAAATGAAAAGGAGACTGGATTGTTTTTTATCTTAAAATTAGAGATATTCTCGTTACTGCCACTGAAAATCAGAGAAAGAAGTCATTATAAATTTACTCTACAGGAGAAGTGTGCTTGCACATTGCAAAAAAAAAATAAAATGGTTGTAGTTAACGAGAAGCTAGTTGCAGTCCATAATTCAAAGAAACACTGATTCAAACTGCAAGCCATGCACAAGATTGATGCAGTATTTACATGAATTTTGGTTATGTCTTTGCATTCTAGTCTGCTTCTAGTAAGAAACGTGTTAAGTATTCTACTTCCTGCCAGATTCAAAACAATGGACAACTGAATAAAATATACTGCCCTGTCGCAATAGTCCTGCACCTTGCTCCTCCAGCTAAACACAAAGTCCTCTGATTGAGCCAACGCTGATCTGTGTTTTTTTTTTTTTCTTCTAAGTCCAACCTACAAGCCATCTTCATATTGCATCGGGTACCTGCAACTATTCAGCCTACACGTGACCTCATTTAGAGTGGGTGCTGCCATTTCCGATTTGTTTTTTAAGGTGCATGCTCAGAGTCTACCATTCTCTCTTCACAACAGTGTCAACAATCTGGAAAAAGCTTGCCTGTATCTGGTTTCCCGACAATATATTACAGAAATGATACAAACAGGTTAGAGACCTCAAAAAGAGATATGCAAAAGGTGCTAAGATTTTGACTCATTTGTTCGGAGCAGTGCAAAGAACATAATCATTTGGCAAACTTTCTGGCCTTGGTGAGGAAGCTCACATAAAACAAAGCTACCCTTCACAGAGTACTCAGAACAGGACCAAAAAAGGAGCATCAGATCAAATTGTACTCTTACTATTTGGTATTTTTGTCCTGTTTGTCTATACAAGTCAAAGACTAACCATGTAGTTAAAAAAAAAAAAAAAGGATGGCAATTGACAGCCTTGTAGCTTGCACTGGGGGGCACCTCGAGGAGGCAAATCCCTATTCCTCTATCAAGATGACTGCCTACTAGGGCTGCAACAACTAATCGACATAATCGATGATTGAAAAAGTTGTCAACTTTTTCAATCATCGATTAATTGGCTACTAATTGGTTGGCCCTGTTTACGGCTCCACACACGCTGCGCGCCGCACCTCCTCCCCACTTCACGTTCGCCGCTGCCAGACCCGCCCGCATTCACGCTCTGCAAGCCGCATCTCCTCCCTGCCTCACGTTCACCCACCCACATCCACAATCGGCACAGGGACCTGGGGAGAAGTAGTAAGGAGGAGGAGGTGTGGGGGGATGACAGCCGCCGATAGACAGGCCTGATCTCAGAAGCAAGTTGCTGGAAGACTGCTCAGGTAAGCCTGCACTTTCCTCCCCCCCCACATGGTGCTCTATAATGTACTGCTGGGATTTGTATTCCTCTATAGCTGATGGTACATTGTGCTGTATATTATACATAGGAATACAAATCCCAGCAATACATTATACACTGTATGTATAATGTATTGCTGGGATTTGTTGTATTCCTATATAGCTGGTGGTATTCTGCATTAAGCTGTATAGAGGACTACAAATCCCAGCAATAATGAATTATACAGCGCAATGCAGAATATCACCAGCTATAGAGGAGTACAAAAAAATCCCAGGAATACATTATACGGTGGTGCAATGCCAAATATCACTAGCTATAGAGGACTACAAAACCCAGCAATAGTACATTATACAGCACAATACTATATTGCACACCACACTTGTTTTCTTTCTTACTTCCACCGCTCCAAGCTTGCTCCTGTGATGGACTACACTCATACAAACTAGTAGTCCATCATTGGAGCCATTTATTTGATTTTATTTTTTATCCGATTAACCGAACTTAATAAATCGGCTAACTAATCGATTTTGAAAATAATCGTTAGCCGCAGCTCTACTACCTACGCAGACACAGTGCAGAATAAAGCATTGAAGGTAAGTAAAGGGGACAAGAGCCTACAAGCAATATTGATATCTAGCCCATTGTCTTCTGCTTGGGGCAGAGGACAAAGCTTCCAGAGATCAGGTCCTCTTTAAAAAAGTATAAAACCACATAAAAAGCAAAATGACTGAAAAGTGTATTTTCACTTTACCTTGTGTATATGCTGCATCATCTGACCCCACACTTAGTTTCCTTGCATCATTTATTCGATCATGTCCTACAACAGGGTCTGTTAAATGATGGATCCCTTCTGATTCTGCAAATGGAAGAAGATTTGTGGGCTCAAACGTTGGGGACACAACTCCTGGGGAAACTGCAGGTGGTTTGTTCGGGGAGACTGTTATCTTAAAAGTATATTTTGTGTTGGGCTGAGTCACTACCACACGTGGAGAAGTGGCTGAGCTATTATTTCCAAGAGCTCGGCTTTTAGGTGGATGGTGATGAATGAAAGCGGGCCCCATGCTTACTTGACCAGAGACATTCCTTGCTGCATTTGCAGCACCTGGATTTGTTGAAATAAAGAGAGTAGGCTGATTCCTAACAACCTGGTCATCACCACCAGGAGCTGAAATGTACACCTTTGGTTGGTTACGGTTAATAATCTCATCTGTGTTTGGGGGGCTTGCAATGTAAACAGTGGGCTGGTTCCTTGTTGGGGTGTTCAAAGTAGAGGGATTAGTAGAACTTCGAGAACTTTGGGAACGCAGCATGTTTGGATTGATTCTTTGTGGAGGTTCAAGTTTAATTTCAATTTGATTTTTCCTGGGACCAGTTGAGATATTCTGAATGTTGTACTGGGTGGAAGGTTGGCCGCTACCTGCCGATGAATGAAGCACAGGCGCTTGTGAAGTTGTAGGTGAACTAATAGGCATATACACATGAGAAGTCTGGTGACCCTGTTGATTAGATTGTGCTGAGGTATGTGACTGAGTATAAGAAGAAGGAAGCGTCGTCCAAGGATTTGGGTGTGAAGGCTGAAAAACTTGCTGTTGTGTGGGAATCTGAGACATCCAACCAGATTGCTGGGGTGTTTGTCGTGTTGTGCCACTTTGGGAAGTGAAATAAGGTCTAATATAGATGGAATTTCCATGTGGGCTATTAAGCACAGGTGGGGGCCCACCATGTATATGCAAAGACGTCGGAGTATTACGAGTAGACTGAATATTTGGAGCCAAGGTAACCATGATGGGGTTGAATCTGGGGGTTTGCAAGCCAGATGAACTTTTGCTGCCTAAATGGAGTCCAAACTGATGACCAGGATTTGAAGGGTTATTGGGCACCCCAAAAACATTAAAACTGGAAGGCACATTAGCAGGAGCAGTCTGTGGCTCTTGCTGATACAGTTCATTGTTGGGCTGCCCTTCTTGAAGATGGCCATCACTTATGCTGTGAGTCAAAGTCCTACTGCTTCCATTCATTCTACTTCCATCCCTGACCTCATGGTACTGAGACTGTAAATCCAAATTAAGGGATGTCATGTGATTTCTTAAACCAACAATGCCACTTTCATCTGTGAGGGACAAGTCGCCTTCACCATATAGGTATTTTGTGCTTTCTTGAGAAAGGACTGCACAACAAGCATCCAGATTATTGTTGTTCTACAAAATAAAAAGAAGAAAACAGTAATTTAAAGGGAAAACAAAAAGCAACCCAATTAGAATTATATCACTGATAAAGAGTTTCATATGCCAAACTTTAGTCTTTGATTATTTAAAAGATGTTCAGAATGGTTTTCCATTATATATTTTGGTCAATAGACCAAACTGATGTGGTCACCATGGATGGTAATAACATGGTGATAAATTAAAAAAACAATAGCCTGTAGAGTACTTGTGACTTCAAAGAATGTTTTAGACCCACTGCCTTCACAACCCATAGATAAAAGTATGGCCTGCTAGGCAAGGTTTCTATATCCTGTGCTCCAGGATTTCTTCCCCACTGCCGCATTTATGTGCTATTGGAAAAATTGGGTCTGTACAGAAGGCCCCATAACTTCCTATGGGAAGTAATGCGTATGCAAGGCAGAGGGAAAAAAAAAAAAATCGGAGTGGAGTGGGTCAGTCCCTGGCTTCCAATATGTCTTTGGTGTTATAAAAGATCCAACTGAATTCATTTAAATCTTTTTTTTTTTTTTAAATATTAGTTTTAGGTTGACTGGCCTTATTTTCTTTTCTTGTCATATGGATGCATACAATAACAGCCTGATGGATACAGCTGTCTGTGTATGTAGGGAACTCACTGCTTTAGATATAGCATTAAAGAAGTCTTGTATTATTTTTCACAGTGCAGTCACCTGTCACAGTATATGTTGTTTTTTATCCCATGCTTCTGTGTGGAGTAGAAACAGATAGACTTCGACAGTTCACCCTTTTCATTCGCGACCACATTCTGCAAAGGAGACAGACTTGATTGACAGCTATCATCTCACATTCCCTGAACTTTCCCAAACACAAAGCAAGATTCCCCTACAGTTCTGGTGCCGATTCCAGTGAGTGCCCCTCTCTGCATACCTGTGATCTCACATGTGGATGGAAAGCAGTTGCTCAAAAGAATAAGCACAGACACTAGAACAGGAGCCTTGTTTTCTGTCAGAAAGTGTCAAGAGATCAGAGCTGTCAATCAAGAGTACATCTACTTTGCAAAACTTTGTTACGAATGAAGAAGAGCAGTAAGCTGTCAAGGTCTGCAACACAGTTTATTGTACACAGAAGCATGAGATGAGGAAAAAAAAAATCTATCCCTCCATCTCACATCAATCCAGATCACTCAGAGGACAAGAAAAGACTGTATTTACCAGTACGGCCATTTTATATAAAAATTCCTATTTTTATGAGTGGTATCAATGTCTCATCATTACACAGGGTTGGGCAGGGACGGATGTGGATGAATGTATGCAATGTAAATAAAATAACTTTAATTCACTGTCTAGCCCCAAAAAATAGAACAAAAAAAAAGTAAACGCGGTAATATTTAGGTGGACCGCCTTCAGCTTTGATTACGGCACACATTCACAGTGGCATCATTTTGATAAGCTTATGCAATATCCCAACATTCTGCCCAGAGTTGCATTCATTTTTCACAAAGAACTTTTAGGGATGATGGGGCAGTCGAACCACCGAGTAAAGTCTTCTTCAGGAAATTCCAAAGAATCTCAATGGGGTTAAGGTCTGGACTCTGTGGTGGCCAACCCACGTGTGAAATTCATGTCTCATACTCCCTAATCCACTATTTCAGCACAATGGGGGGAATTTATCAAACCTGGAGCAAACGGAATCGGGAGCAGTTGCCTATGGCAACCAATCAGCATCTCTCCTCAGTTTGCGCAAGATTTAAAAATGGAAGAGAGAGAAGCCGATTGGCTGCAGTGCAAATCTGCTCCAGATTTTGTCTGCTCCAGTTTTGATAAATTCCCCCCAAAGAGTCCTGGCATTGTCATCTTGCAATACATCCATGTCATCAGGGAAGAAAAAAATCCACTGATGGAAAAACCTGTAATTCAGTGTATTCAGGTAGGCAGCTGACCTCATTTGTTGCCAGATGAAACACATTAATCACAGCAGTAATTATCCAATGGAAGACCCTTAACTATTTGGTTAGCTAAATCCAGGTGGTGACCTTTTTTGGCCAGGCAGTGTACATCAATGAGAATATATTATATATCTCACATCTATCTAGCCATCCATCCCACATCTAGCCATCCATCCACACTTTTAAAAAAATGAGATGTGCTCTTAAAATAAATAAAACATAAAAAAAAGTATGTTTTATTGCGATTATACATACAAAGCAGAAATATTTGAATAAAAATATGTAACTCAACACGTATTTCATTTATAATCAACAATTGGAGATAGAATCTGGGCAAATAAAAATATTACCAAGTATTAAAAAAATTGCAGATTTAAATCAATCAATATAGTGTAATAATGATCAGTGGGAACATTTCATCATGGCAGAAGCAGGCCAAGTTTGAGAGCATGAGTCCTGTTTTGATCTAAATCTACCTGATCTGTTGAGAAATAATGAGATGGAATATGCAAGTGTTCTCCAATATGCACATTACGATTTAACTAGTCCATGGATTTTTTTTTTACGGAGCAGCAGTTTATCATTAACATGGCGATACAGAGGCATAGCTCTCTGTATTGTAGACGCTTAACTACTGACTACTAGCAATATGCTACTGTGACGCAGACAATAAAAATAAATATATCCTGCTAATAATGATGTGCAATATCCTGAAACTACATGAAAAACTAGCAGGCTTAAGGCACTAACCTGTTGCATGCACCGTGAAACAACTACTGCAGGCACCTCTGGGAATTTTTGTCGCAGGTCATTTAAAACCTGAAAGTCAACTTGCGAGCTTCCTTGGGCCATTCGTATATTGCCTGTGCTGAACTGTTCTACTGGACAGTTCTGGTTGGAACCCAACCTCATCTCATTGTTGAAAGCATGCTCTGCTGAAGAGAAGGTAAAACTTTACATTACAAAAAAAAAAACAAAAAAACATTTTGGCATTAAGCTGTTATAATACACTGAAAATTCAATGCAAATATTGGCCCCTTAATTGTGAAAACTGGTACTTTTGTTCACAATGCAAGCTAGTCCTTGGAATACCTTTGAGCAACAATTCTAGTACAATTTAGCTATGTAATGCATAGGCCTTTTTAAGTAGACTGTGGGAATATATATTTTTTTAAATTCCCCTTGCACCCAAACTTTTTTTACTTGGTTACTTATTGGTATTTCAGACATATAGTTTCAAAGTTATATGTAGGTTACAAGTTCCATGCTGCTAGTCACCAAGTCTCCTCTGACAATGTTAACAGTAATTTACATCAGTTGTGAAACCTGAGGGCCGGAATCCCAAATGGTCCAATATTATGTGGGGTCTCAAGTTAAACATTTAATTGAGGATTACAGGGCTGAGAGAAGACTAGATTTGTAAGGTCCTAAAACTGACAAACAAGGACTACAGAAAAATCTAAATACATGAAACCTAACTGTTACCTATCTTTAGGGAAACAGTCTGTCTCCACTGTGCACAGGGAAAAAATGCTGTAAAGAAAATGCTTTCAGAAATAAAAAAAATAAATAAAAAAAGTGTTAAAATAGTAGGGATGTCCCGATACCTATACAGGGCATTTTCAGGAGTACTTGTGAAAATGCTCCAATACTAAAAGACCAATATGGGCCCTTTACATTTAAAAAAAGTTCGGCTGCCTGAGATCCCGCGCTTGCTGGGGACCTCAGGCAGCTGTCTTTGATAGTGCTGGTCCAGCTGCACATTGCCGCCTCCTCCTCCTTCTCAGCACAACAATGGACAGCCCCACACTCACCAGTACAGCCTTGTAGCCCCAGTTCTTACTAAGTGATACCCTGCCCAATATTCAGTAGGCCCCCCTTTGGAGCCAAAACAGCCCTGAACCGTTGAGGTATGGAGCCCAGTAGACCTCCTTAAGTCTGGCAAGTTGTGAGGCGAGGCCTCCATGGATTGGACTTGTTTTTCCAGCACATGCCACAGATGCTCAAATTGGATTGTGAGCTGGAGAATTTGAAGGCCAAGTCAACACCTCAAACTCATCGTTGGTTCAAGAATGGTTTGAGGAACACATTTTTGAAGTGGGGCAGGGCATCATGAGGCCCTCCAACATACTCCATCTGCAGCAAGGGATCTGAAACGCATCTATTTCATGGATCACTACTCCATGTCCAGCATCAACCAGCTGGAAGGAACTGGTTAACAGAAGAATGTACTTAACAGGAGCAGAGTGAACTGGACTAGAACATAGGGTTACGGCCAAGTCAGGATCCAAAACACCTCACATAATACAACAAGAGCTCCTGTAATGGAACTCAAGTATCTTAACATGGTCCATTGGTGTTCATCTCCAGAGACTAGCCCAGGGAATGATCCAAGTATGTAGGAGGAAGCAACTGCTCCGGAAATCCAGAAGGTGGCTCAAGAGATAAGTATTCTCCAATGACAGATCTTCCCACATGCGGGAAGAGAAGTTCTTAACAGCCATAGAACTGGAAGAATGGTGCATCAGGCCCGGGTACTACCTGTTCCTAAGAGACAGACAAGTTAAGTTGGCCATAGACTGTTTTATTTATTTTTTGTTCGACCTGCAGGCTGAACAGATTCCTCCATCCACGCTGCGTCATTTATATTCTGACAGTGGCAGGCATGCCACTGTCAGAATACCTGAACAGTGACAGCAGCCAATTGGCAGTCAGTGTTCGGCAGAAAAATTTTCATCCGACTCCTTCAATTTTCTGAAGATGCCAACCAGACCACCTACTGAACAACATCTGTATACCAGGTGTGCGGGGGTGAGATGGAGTCAAAACCCAAAGTGGGACAGTGATCAGCAAGTACTGCTACCTGCTGACCATACAAATCCAAGGGTTCCTCAAGGGTGGGACAGGGGTGGTGGATTCAACACCAGGAACAACTGGAGAGCTGACATGCCACAAGGAAGACAGTGCATTGCTCTAGGTAATAGAACAGGGGCCATGATATGACACACTGCCTGAGGCCAAACTAGCCTCAGGGGCCTGAGGCCAAACTGACAGAGGCGCTACAGCAAAAGTCACAGGGATTAGGAGACCCTAAGGGAACAGAGGTAAATCTGTGTGTAATTACTTTTTTTAAAGGTGCCTTCATGCTGAAGATTTCTTGCTTCAAACCTTGCAGTTTGCAGGAGTATCAGGCTTAGAGGGTCTAGTTGAATCCACTGCAGGAGTAAAGGAGAGGGATGGGGGGTCAGTGGACCCTTTCTTAGACTCTTCTTATGCTGAGGCAAGCGAACCCTCTGACACACGATCCTTCAAAGACCAAAGGAGTGAGAGGCTCTTTGGATTTAGCATCTGTTTCACAGCAACTTAATCAGTGTTCTGTGCATTTGCATGGATCAACTGCTACAGTGGAGATATCTCCTTTAAAAGGTATTTAACCTATTCTGCTTGATTATAGTCATGGCTAGAATAGAGCAAAGGGCAGGGACCGTCAGCAAAAACTGGATTTTAAAGAGGGATTCTAGCTGCTGGTCAGAAGAATCCTTGAAGGAAGAATATCTTCGACAAACCTAGTGGTTTCCCCGTTAAGGTAGATCATTGTTAGATCCTCAGTGGGTAATGAGCACTGTTTTACAAATTTATTTCCAAATTATTTCCAAACAGGAGCAGATCCAGCAAGCTCTCAGGGGAAGTCCGGGATCACTTTACAGAGGAAGACCTCTAAGAGCGGGTGCAATGGAAAGGTCTTTGTAGCTGCAGTAGCTCTGAAAGACCTTCAGGTGCACAGTAGTACGTACAGTATCAATAAGTAAATCTAATGGCAGAAGTTTGCGAATTATTGAAAGCAGAATTTGACCCTGCAGAAGTAATGTGCGCACACTGGCCCGTTCGGCAGTTGTCGAACCAGCAGGCCACTAACTCGCCGAGAATCGTACGATTCCCGGTGGGTTTTCTAGCCTGCTGGTTCGACGGAAGACGTGCGACCGTACAGTAGAAACGGTCGCACGCCTTCCATACACTGCACAATTCTCCTACGATCGCGGGATTTCCCGTGATTCTCGTACGAGAATCGTGCAGTGTATGGGCACCTTAAGGAAAAGTCGATTTAGATAGCTCCCACACTACAGTCCAGCTCAAGCAGCAACATTTCAAAGAATCTTGATTGAAGAAACAGTTGGCTAGTTAAAAGAGAAATAAAAAAAATCATAAACAACATTTTATTTTTCCCAGCAGAGCTAAAATAGAAAGAAAAAAAATTGTCCATCCTCCTAGGACACAAGCAAAAGACTGAGGCATGCTGATATCAGGAGGGGTCCTAGCCTACAATTTGTTTGCCAAATCCTCCTGTAGACAGTTGTATAACCAACAACATGACTTCTCGTGTCCCTCAAAGGGACGAGAAATAAGTACATCCCAACATATACCACCAGTTAAAATCCATGTAATAAAAACAGGTGTTCCAGATTAGGTGCCAATGATTAGAACCTGCTTAGGGAGTATGTAGGTGAAACGGGTCTTATTTGAACCTCAGATATCTAGGATCTGGTATTCGCTTTGCTACTGTCGTGTGTAATGTAATTATGCCAGGATCAAAAGAGATCTCTAAGGTCCTCAAAGAAAGTTGGGCATGCCTATGGATCTGAAAAATGATTTAAAAATACTGCCAAATAAATCATTCCACTGTAAGGAAAATAACCTACAAGTGGGGTAGACTTCAAACGACTGCTAATTTGGCCACAACTGGCCTGCTCAGCAGATGCAGATCAAATGCACTCTATGCCATGCTAAAATAAGTCTCCAAGGACTAGAGCTGCAACAGTTAATCGATTTAGTCGATTAAAATCGACGATTGAAAACGTTGGCAACGTTTTCGATCGTCGATTCGTCGGCTATCGATTGATTTGCCTGTTCGGGGCTGTTCCGGGCTCCACATGCGGCCTGAGCCACACGTCACACGCTGCTCCCGCTGTGCCCACGGCACAGGCCGCATAAGCCATGCCCACCGCACAGGACGCTGAAGCCGCGCACACCGCTGCTCTACTCCTCGACGCGATCTCCCTCACTCGTCGCTGGCCCGCCGACAATCGAGGGCCCACCTTCTGAAGCCAGTGGTGGACGGAGCTGCAGTGTGAAACAGGTGTGCGGGGATATAGTGGTGGAATAGGTGTCAGTGTGGAACAGCTGTGTGGAGAGGCAGTGGTGGAATAGGTGTATGGGGGTGCAGTGTGGACCAGGTGTAAACGCCAGCTACAGAGGACTACAAATCCCAGCAATAGTACATTATAGTATAATGTACTATTGCTACATTCCTCTATAGCTGCTGGTATTCTGCACTGCGCCGCTGTATAATGTACTATATTGCACACCACACTTTTTTTTTACCTCCACCGCACCAAGCTTGCTCCCGTGATGGACTACAATCTTAACACAAACTAGTCGTCAATCACTGGAGCCTTTTTTTTTTTTTATCCGATTAACCGATCGAACTTAATAATCGGCCAACTAATCGATTATGAAAATAATCGTTAGCTGCAGCCCTACCAAGGACCCCACAATTTAATTATGGAACTACAGGTAACTTCTGCAACAGCTGGAGTCAAAGAGCATGCATCTATTATCAGAAAGATTGTACCAATTTAACCTGCATGGGAGTTGTGCTGTGGATTGATGAATTAAAGATAGAGTTATTTATCCACAGGAATAGTAGACAAGACTCCGCAATCGGTTATCAAACACAGAAACACTTTGGAAAGACAAAAAAGGTCCTTCTATGGCATTTGCATTACTTGTAAGTCACACCTGGTGACTTACAAAGGTGACTAAATATTCCAAAATAGGAGGGGATAGAATCTTCTAAAATTTCATGAACATCCCATATAAGTGGAGACTAGGGATGCACCGATACCTTATGTTTCAGTATTGAGTAGGAGTACAGATA